TTTGGATTGCAAGCACATCAACACTTACATGACCACCAGGCCACTTGCATGCAGATACAAGCTGTACTACGGGGTGAACCTGAGCTTGTCCGCTGTCGACGCACACCCCGCGGCAAAGGCTCGAACCTGGACAAGGTGTTGAGCTGATGCAACAGGCTGTGGCTGCCATAGCCTCCATTCCGTGGCATCTTGACATGCGCCAACATGCCCATGAATTGGCCACTCGTGTCCAACGAGGCGTGCAAGCGGTTCTGCCCAGCCGGCCACACTTCCATCGGAAGTCGTACCTTGCCCAGGATACCAAATCCGCCATCCTTGAGAAAGCTGCCTGGCGGAAGACTACACTCCAGCTCCAGGCTGTGCTGAGGGTGTGTTTTCGCTCATGGGCATGCGTCTCTGAACCACCAACTTGGGATTGGCTTGCTGATTGTGAGCGAACTCTGGGCTGGAGTTGGGCGATGCAGTCAGGAACCATGCGACTACTTTGCTCCGCAGAGATGCCAACTTGTTCTTCGACCAGCTGAAACAGAGTTGGACTGATCTGGATGCACAGGGCAGCACTCGTGAACTTTGGCAGAAGGTCAAGTTGTACCTCCCTAAATGCAAGTGAGACGAGAAACCAGGAGTGCTCACCAACAGGAGGCAATGCGCGAGCAGTGGGAACCACACTTGTGTGCTCTCGAAGCTGGCGCCCCTACAAACCTAAAGGACCTCTATATCAAGAAGTCCTCGATCGCCCGGAGGTTGTGGATGAACATTGTGTCCGCCACTTCACAGATCTCCCCACCTTGACTCACATTGAGACATCTTTGCGGAGAACCAAACCAGATAAGGCCAGTGGACCTGATGGCATTGAATCCAGTTGGCTACATTATGCAGCTGGTGCCATTGGACCCCACGTCTATGATGCCGTTCTGAAGCTGATGACTACGATGGATGAGCCTATCCAATGGAAGCGGGGGACACTCTACATGCTGCCCAAGGTCCAGCCCACCAACGCCTCGCAATTCTGCGGGATCATGCTGCTTGGGGTCATTGTTAGAAGGATCCATGCACTCTTCCATGATCCAGTGAGGGCGCAAGTTTCAGCCTCCTCTCCGCCAGGCCAAATTGGAGGCTTCCAACATCAAGAGTGCCTGTTTGGTACGTACAGTGATGAGACGAGCATACGCTGCCAAGATGCCAAGTGCCATGCTGTTCATTGACTTGCGCTCTGGTCAGGGAGCTCGTCCTAGGGGCACACCTTGGGGGACCTACAGATCTCCATGCTCTACAGCAGACTTGGGACAAGGAGGCTTTGAGGAGGAGCTGGTGGAAAAGATGACGCAGGCCCACGGAGTCCTCCCGGGTTTTGATGAGGGAGCTCCATGGCTTCACATGGTCTACCAGGGCAAAGGGGTGTGCACAGCTCGAGGATCGAGGCCAGGCAGCCCTTTGGCAGACGCGCTATTTCATTGCCTGAGCCCTATCGTCAAGCAGATTGAAGCCAAGATCGCAGCGAGCCCTGTTCAACAGACAGCTCGTGCAGCAGGCGGTTCAGGTGGTGTGGGCGGATGATCTTGCTGTCCCGCTTCTCGCCGCACACAATGCTGAGATGGAGATTGAGATTCAGAAAGCCTTTGCTAATGTCTTTGACATCTTCCACCAGCATGTTATGACGCTCAACATGAGCAAGGGGAAGACTGAGGTGACAGTGACCTTTGCTGGCCCTTAGGCACGTGTCTTCCGGGAACAGCTACGGTGCGAGCCCTTTGTGAAGGTGGAGGTAGGTCGGCCTTCTACGACAATGCAATTGGCCTTGGGGAATGCCTACAAACATTTGGGCACTACAGTTGCGGCAGCTGGGGGCTCGCAACTTGAGGTCAAACGACGCATTGGACAAGCCTGGAGTACATTCAGGCAGCTGGCTCGACCCATCTTCTTGAACAAGGCTCTGCGGGAACCCACTCGAGTTTTCCTGCTGGAAACTCTTGTCTTCACCAAGTTGCTCTATGGCCGCTGTGGGGGTTGGAGCGGTCTGACATGCCCCGACGCACGCAAATTGTCTGTTTGCTATGTTGGCTTGCTACGGCGCACACTTGGCCAGATGAAGACTCATGAAGCTGAAGTTTTGACTGACCAGGCCATTCTTCAGAGGATTGGTTGTGCATCTTTGATGGTGAAGCTTTCCCAGCAACGCTTCCTTCTTGCAGCACGTATTGCTCGCTTTGCTCCAAAATTCTTGCAGGAGGAGCTTCTCTTGGAAGAGGATGATTTGGAATGCAGTTGGCGGAGCGAGATTGCAGTGATGGACCTCTCTTCTTGGGGTACGTCTGTGAGTGCCCTATGGGAGGCTTGGCAAGCAGGAAAGCCTGGATGGCAACACGTGCTTCGGACGGCCGTCAGGAAGCATGGCTATGTCACTCAGCTTGTCAAACCACTTTCCACAGATCGAGGAGATGAAGATGAGACCCTGCAGGACTTGTGGCTAAAAGTCCAATGCCGCTGTCACTGCGGCCAGGGGTTTCCCACTTTGAAAGCTTTGAAGGTGCGCCAGATGGTGGCGCACTCCTGGCGTACACCCGTTTCAGGCTACGTGCGCGGCTTCGCCTGCCCAGTGTGCCTGCGGCGCTACTGGACACGGAACCGACTTAGTTTGCGCCTCAGGTACGTTTCCAGGAAAGCAAAGACCAACATTTGCGCTGCTTGGCTACAAGAATTTGGGGTGCTTGAAGAAGGACGTGAAGATCTCCCAGGCGACTCCTTTGTTTCTTTAGCTGGCGCACGACGGGTTGAAGCCGTCTCACTTTGTGGCCCTAAGGTGTTTGGTGCTGAGTGTGACGATGCTGTCGCCCTTGAAACCGATTTGCTTGCCTTGAAGGATGAGCTAGAGAACTCCGGAGTCTCTTTCTAGTCAGACTCGGACACTCTGCTCACCATTGAGGAATGTGCCAAAAAGCGGCTGTGGCTGCGCAAGATGTACACTCCTTTTACCGCGAATGGAGGGACATGGACGCTGGCATTTTGCTGGGTATCGTCTTCCTGTGGGGCATGCAGAATGACATGGACATGGTGAGCACGCGCTGGTGGTGTGAGTTCTTGTCTTCTGAGCCGAGGGGTAGAGCAATTTTGCGGTTGCACGATTGGGCCGTGGCCATACAGAAGGCTCGTAGGGTCCATGACTCGCGGTTGGGAAGGCTGCCTTACTGGGGTCCCAGAAAGGACCCGGGTGGAATGCAACGTTTAGGTTTGCCAGTGTGTCCGGAAGTGACCGCCAGCCGGGGCAACCTACTTGTCAAGAACTGCACTGTGATGCAGTTGAGGGCTTTCGCGTCTTCGTCATAGGCCCCTTGACTGAATTTAGCTTTTGGCGTACGGCTGCTCGACTCCATGAGCCGTAGGCTTTAGACTGGATGCGAATGAAAAAAAAAGGCCCCAAGCATGCCCCAAGCAAAGATCTCGGACAAGAAGTACTTGCATGTTTGAGCCCTTCAGCCACACGAGGAACCAGTGGGTCCTTTGTGCTGCCTGCAACAAGCACATGAATTCTGCCCACGTCGTGAGTAAGAAACATGTATCATATCTGGGTAACATCGCAGAGACCTTGCACTGGATCCGCAACAACGAGCGCCCTGGGCGACAACTGGTACCGTGCCTGCGGATGTTGGAGGACAATCCACGCAGCTGGCAGCAAAACCCGCAGGTTTCAAGTGCAGCACCGCAGGCGCAGCAGGCGCAAGCTGCCTACTCTCCTCCAACGGCCCCTCAAAGGCCGATGACACAGGCGACACAGGCACCGGTCCCGCCTGTCCCGCCTCGGAGTACAGCTCCCAATGTTCAATACTTTCCTCCGCCGAAGGAGCAGGCGTTTCCAACCGAAGAACAAGTCCTCGAGTATGTCATACGATCAAGAGACCGCAAGTTTGGTACTCTCAAGCAGCGCAATGGTGGACAGGTTGTCGTTTTTGCTCATGTTGAACCCTTGATCCAGGAATTCTGAGCTTGAAGTTGTAGCGTGACGGACATCCACTTGTAGAAGACTATTTCATACTATTTCTTTCTCGTTTGCAATACCATCACTTAGAACATGTCAACGACCCCACACTTAGAAGATTATCTTATGTCTATGTTCCAAATGTATTCACTTGGTACCTAGGAAACCAAACACTCAGAGCAGTTTATGGTGTGTGTCCGTCACATAAGGGAGAGAGAGAGAGAGAGAGGGAGAGAGAGAGAGAGAGTGAAGCGAAGCAGCCTGGTGATTTAGGCAGAGATTGTCAGCCCTCGCACTAGCTGTCACTGTAGTACATTTGCACAGTCTGTGCACGGGGAGTTATATACTGTTTATGTTTATGCGTGGAAGTGTATGCATGAGGTAACAGCGCCAAGCCATGCCCACACAAACAGAAATATGTCCCATAATTGCCTAATTATAAAGGGCTGAGAAAAAGACGGGTGAAGAGCCAAAGAAGGATGCTGCATCACATGTTGTGCCTGTTTGTTTGTTGATCAGAGAACAGTGACAGCGTACCTGGACACCAATGAATCTCATAGATTCTGGGCACAGACAGGTTCCAGGAGATTCTGGGCATAGGCAGGGGTCTTTTTTCAGACTTCCTGCCTCAGTCCCTTGCCCAAACTGGCGAAAAGGGCGCGTGTGGAATGTGTGGAATGTTGGAATGATGCGTAGCTGCTGTGCGCCGCCATGCATCCTCGGAATGCCACAGAGGAGTGTGCAAAGATCGAAGATGATCGAAGATTTCCGTGATGCAATTCGTCGAGCAGAGAAGGCATCGTGAAAAGATCGGAACTGCTTGTGGGAGATCGCAGGGGATCGCGTGCTCACAGATTACACACCTTTCTGTATTTGGGCGGGCATCGGCATGTTCAATCGCATGGGCCCATGCGGAATCCCCAACTGTAAAAGACAACGTGCGAAAGATCAGAAGGTCGCTCTCGACTCAAACGATCGATCCTGAGTTCTCTTCGAGTCGTCGAGTCTTTGGAGATCGCTGGTCGAGGACGATCAGAAGTGGCCGTCCGACGAGGAGGACGGCTCCGGACATGCGCAGACACAGAAAACGCCGTCCGAACAAAACGAGCTCTCCTTCTTGTGCAGCCGTCCTGACTGGACTGGAAGAGTACCTATAGGACCAAGATGGACCAAGATCGGTATCTGCTTGCCTAGATAGGTTATGAGTTATGACGGAGATGATGAGATCCTGCCGTGATGTATGAAGGATCTGAGGCTCTCGCCAAGATCAACCCAATTACGACCAAAGAGCACGATTCGTCCGTGTCTGTGTGGTTCGGGGGGGATCCCAAGCGGCGAGCCGTGAAGAATGGTTTGGGAAGTTTTGGGTTCTAACAATTGGCTTATTTCATCAACAGGCTCAACAGGCCCAAATTGTTGTAAAACAGGAAGCTACAATATGATATGCAATACATATATATATATATATATTCGATATATTTACATATATAGTTATTATATTATAGATAGAGATCGTACAATGTTTTGAGTGCTGTTTGAGCTCACCAATTGGAGTCACACCCACATCAGTCAATTTGTTGATATGACAGAAGATAATTTGAATGACCATGGCTTTGAACACATCACATCATTTGTGTTTCTTTCAAACTAGACGCAAGTCTTGCAGGGCGGCCAGCTGAGGAAATTCTATTGTTTTCATGATTTTTCCATGTGTATAGGGGTGGGTCGTTTGTCTTGAGAAACAGTACCCCTTCATATTGGCATGGTTCAAGTAGCTGCAAAGGACACTGGTCGCTGCTGTCCGGACATCCTGATGGCCGTGAGGAGTTCTGAGCGTTAAGATGACCCTCCCTGCTTGTAGAGGAACATGGTCTGTCCAACAGATGAACGAAACTGAGCGAAAAAAGGACCACCAGCTCTGACAAGCGTCCATGTTACGGGAAATGACCCTTTGTCACACTTTTGGTCCACGAAGGCATCGATCAAACAATCGGTCTGAACACAATATGGGGGACTGCTTCTTGTCTTGCATTCTCGCGTTGCACTAGAGTGAACAATAATGTTCGGCGACAGTCGCAGTGTGAGCAATTCGCTGAGGGTCCTGAGCTCGTTGTAAGCACCATCGAGCCGTTTCTTCGATAAAATTGATCCAACATGATCCAACTGTTGCTGAACTGAACCCAAAATGAATGCGTCCGGGGCGGGGTACGTGAATGCTGGCATGACCCGCGTGCGGGATTTTTTCTTGCGTTCACATCGCCCCCTCTCTCTCTCTCTCCCTCTCCCTCCCTCGCTCCTATCATCAAATTGGGGTTCCCCGGTTCCCCCCAAATGGGAGGTTTATATGAGGTTTGTGTTTCAAGTCTTGTCCTTAGTCCTTCTTCCAGGATCAGGGCAATACGGTCCAGCATGTGTGTCCAGGGCAATACGAATGATTTGACATTCCAGATTTCAAGCGTGGCAGAGTTGCATGGCTCGTGTCATTGGTTCCGAACTCGCTTGCAAAGTTTTTCGAGGATCGTTTTCCATTGCTTTGATGTCAGTTTGTGGCTAAAAGCTACAGACAGGGGCTGAGGGTGTGGAGTGATTGAGCTTCTTGGACTTCGCAGCACTTCTTGGATTCCGCCGCGCTGGCGGAACAGTGGCCCATGTTTTGAGGAGGGGTCCCGGGATGGAGCGAGAGCAGGACATAGGGCGACCAAGCATAGATGGTCGTGGCTCGAAGCTAGACCTTTTTGGGTTACCACGGAGTCGAGTCTTCATTGTTTGCTGTGGTTGGGTTGAGATGCTAGTGATATATATCCAATCAACATTTGCCAATGGACAATGCCCCTCCGCTTTCATTGTTGGAGGGAGGGTAGATCCAGAGATTGGTAGATCACCCATGGCTATTTGGTATTATTTGGCCATGTCGGTGTGAAACGGTGTGAAGGCGGACTTGATCCATCAAGGTTTGGGCGCGGACTTGTCATCGCTTTGGACGGTGACCGGGTCATCGCAAACACACTCCGTTGGTCATCGAATCAGAAATGGCACAGGACGCATCATGTCATTCAGATTCTCGGCCCCCATCATGTTCTCCGCAGGTTCCAATGATGGCATGACCGAATTCGTCCCCTCGTGACCGCGCAGGTGGCGAAGGCAAGGTCCCGTTAGCTGTTAGCCATGGAGGCGAGGCACGGTGCTGAAGTCGGCGCTGCAAAGAGTGAAGAGTGTACTAGCGATGGCCTCCAACCTTAGTCGCGATGGCCTCCCACCTTCCCTGTCCACAAATCATCACAAATCACTAGAACATGTTTGAACATTGTTTTGACATGTTTTGACATATCCGACAGTCATTACACAGAAGGTCTGGTGGTATTTGGTTCTCCTTGCTTCAGGCCGATCCGATCCCACTTCCGCACTAGGCACCGCCCAACACGAACATGTACATCGCGGACTTGCCCCAGGGCATCGATGCGAGGAAACCCAGTGAGATCTTGGAGCCGAGTCCGGCTTCGTCCGTCGAGTGGATGGAGTAGATGGAAGGAATGGCCTCCACCCTAGTAGCGATGGCCTCCAACCTCATATATTAGAGTAGATTGAGTAGATGGAAGGCTCTCAGGAATGGTCCACTAGTGAGTTTTTTCTTTTGATTTGGGCGGCTGAATCCCTGCGGATCGCTATCATAGGTCTGGGAGACCTGTGGAGACTCAACAGCTCAGTGGATGGTTTGCCGCCCACGCTTGGTCCGCCTTTTGCGGCCGGCAATGGCTCCCGCCCAGGCGGGTACAGTGCAGAATATCTTCAGTGAGCAGGGAAGCCCATTGATTGGAGATGTGAGCTGCTCACCTCAGGGCATGGGCACGAGAAACATTGAGAAACATCGTTCGGAACGTCATCTTCACAACCCATTGACACCCTTGAGTTGGGATGAGATCCTGGTCACTTCGATATGGTGGGCCCATATAGGTGGAGCCACAGTTCGATGAATTCTCCGATATACACATCATTAGGCCAACAGGTCTGGGCATTTGGCATTTGCCAGGAACCCCCCTCTAGATCCGCCCCTGTCTCTTTCGACCCACGGATCCATGGACGGTCCCACAGGGCACACCGTGGCCGAGCTTGGGTGGGCGACGGATCCGCTCAGGTACGGAACCATTGTGCAGGGCAGGCTGAAGGTGCTCGCCGGCAACGGCAGAAAGGCGCCGGTCAGAGCCGGTCACCGCCCACACCGCGGCGCGGTCAGCCGAAGCAAGTACGCAAACCGGTCAGGTCGACGGTCGCACGGAGGAGGATTGTGATAGGGACAAGGATGTTCGGGCACGCAAGAGGGGATGAAGCACGCAAGAGGTGGCCTGTGGACTTTGCTTTAGGTGTGTTGGTTGCTAAGTTCAATATATATATATATATATTTGTATTGTATTGTATCATATTGTATCCACATATGTCACCATGTGGCAGTCACAGTCAAAGGTGGTCGATTCTGAAATTGTCTAATTACCGTACCAATCTGCCCAACCCACGTTTTCATTTTTTCGGTGTGCAAACCCACGTGCACTTTCCTGTGGTCAGGTTTGCCCAAAACTGATCCGTCAGCATGAGCTGGCCCCCCCAGGCCAGGTGTCAAAACCTTCATGTATTCATTTGGTATACCACCCCTCACTGGCCGGGACCGGCAGATCGGCACTCCGGGCTTTCCTATGATGCCACAGCCACGCTCGCGTTGGCCACACTCGCGGTGTCCGTCGCCCAGTCAGCGGCCATGATCACCTTCCAGTCGATAGATGAGGCGGCCGGGGGTCCACCGGCGTCTAGTGGACCATGGCGACTTCCGCTTGGGGAAGAGTGTTGGAAGCGGGGAGGGGGTTCGGCACAAGCCAGAAGTTGCGAGGCGATGATGTTCATCAGGTTGAAGCCAAAGGTGAGAAGTTGCGGTCCAAAATGGTTCAACCTGGCATGGCGCATGGACAAGGTGGACCATGACAAAATATATACATGAAATGACATCAATTCCGCTGTACTGGTGTGTTTCCCATATGGGTGTGCAATCAGAAACGAACTGAGAGAATCCCAATGCATAACTGGCATAGTCGATCTATACAGCTATCCTTTTTACGTCGACCAGCTGGGGGTGCCAACTCTTGCTCCAAGTAGCCATCGGAGTTTTTTCAAAAACAGAGGAATTTCTATGAATTTCTTACCACTGGTCACTCCTTGAGAATGGTTCGATCTTGAATTGACAACAACTTCAAAGCATGAGCTTGAAAAGAAGAATGTTCCCCAAGCCTGCTGGAACCCTTTGGGATTGCAGCAATGTTTCTAATTACATCGACTCTCATCGTATGCAGTTTAAGTAAATCCATCACGGCGCCAACGGAGGTGGGTCAGGTGCACACATGTGCATCATGTCCACACCCTTCAAAGACCACAAATTTACTCCCGTTGGTCTGAGCCTTGGTGTTTCCTTCTACTCAGAACCATTGAAAGATATGTGATGTGGACATATATGAAACATTATGGACATATAGACTGCGTTTTCGGCTACAAGTTTGAACGTTTTGAACTGACCGACAGGATTTGTTCGACAGAACAAGAGTTACATAAACATACACAACAAAGCACAAGAGATCACAAGTGTTAGCACATGTTAGCAACCAGGTCCAACAACCTCATCATCTCTTGCGCTTGAAAGCACATTAACTTCATAATATCATACATGTCATTTCAAGCTGCCAGGCCAAGTGGATCAAGGAGAATCTCGATGGCAACATCCCCCAGGGTCTCAGTGAGCCTATCATTGTCAAGTATGCCGACACGCCTCTTGTCGACGAAATGCAGGCGTGCCTGATTTGCGGGGTGAATGGGCATATCTGCCATTCACAAGTAGAAGGAGGAATGGTGACCTGGCACTTCATGTTGTTGCTTTGTTCATGTTTTTTGTAAACAGGTGGATGCATCGTCGACTCCATGATTTCATTATTTACTACATAATATAATCGATATAAACATAACTATATATAAGATATATACACACATTAGTCTCAAGTTGATGCCGCTTGAGCAACCTATGACCGGGGGGGCGGGGTTGGTTCCGAGACCATCAATGGAGCGGGTTCAGTATTGTCCAGGAATACTGTAGTATTCAAGTCCACAATCATGCATTTGGTGGTGCAGGCAGCCGTCCATCAACCAAAAGAATGGGCACACATCTAAGATCCTTTGTAGCTGTTCAGCTGTTCATTGCTGATTTACTTGTCGAATTGACACCTTTCTTCGACGTTGAGGAATAGTTGTAAAGATCTCCAAACGGGCAGTCAATCATTTGTAGCATGCAAAATCATGTAAAACATGATCGAGTATGTCGAGGTGTTCCAGACTGGGCACAGCTTCTCTCCGCTTGGGGTATCACTACGCCGCACTGACTCATTGACCAGCCGGTGATTTTCCAAGGCCAGAGATTAAGGCAGCAAAAGCCATGGGTCAGAACTACATGGGACAGGTGCGCACGTCCAGCGATCCGACCGACCTCTTGACCGACGGAGGGAAGGAGGCCGTGGAGAAGGGGCAGCCCAGCAACCTGGTAGAACGACCTCCAATTTGTTGTGTTGCATTGAATCATTTTCCATGTTGCTGCAGCATGACATTGTACATCACTGTTCTAGAGCGGTGGCCAGTTTTACTCCGATCTCATGACCTCAGGATTCTGATGAAACCATCAATGAAGAGTAGTTCGGGCTGGGTTTCACGTCGACATTAATTGGATCTTGTGTAGATATCATATTGGCTCAAGAAAGGTTCACAACATCTTTGACACGCTTCCTCCATGAAAAAGACTCTTTTTGATATATTTGCTGGTAGACATGTCTTTTGCCCATGGGCCCATGCTCTTGCACCTGGACTTCCTGCTGTCCCTCCCTTTTTCCAGCTTCCAATTTCTTGGACGGTGTCCAGCCGTTCTTCGCCACAGGGAATGAACGGCTTCCAAAACGGCAAAGGCACCGGTCGACGATGTTGACGAGATGCCACCGGTTGACGAGATGGTCCGGGGCAATACGAGTCGATCACGGCCAAAAGGGCCAAAAGGGTTTCCCCCAGCTCCTAACATAGCCTACCAACCACAAGGTCTTCCTACCTTCCGAGTGGAAGGTTAATAACACATTGCAAATGCGATGTTTGTGATCGGAAATGGTTCGCATCCATGCTTTTCTTCTTGAGGCTTCCCATCGGGGTTACAGTCATGCTTGGGAGCCAAATATTGTTGTTTTTCGTTCCTCGTCACACGCGAACCGAGTGTGAACGGAGTTCTTGCGGTAGAATGGCCGAACGATGGAGTTCCTGCGAACTTCTTCGAGTTCGTGCAATTCAGTTTGATTGCACGCCTTTGGGCATATACACATTGCATGCCTTTGGTGTGCAGCAAAGTCTTCGAACACGATTCGGCCAGCGGTTCTCGGCGCACCCGTCGAACGGACCGGAATGGCCGTTCCGATGTCGACCGGACCGTGGGTCAGGCTATGGCAAAGCGAAGAATGCGATGGTTCCGCCGAGAAGTATGCCCTACAATATGAACATGAACATGAACAACATGATGGCCCCCGCGATGATTGGAGGCGTTCGTGGGCAGTTGGTGGATTGGGGATGCGCATGATTGCATTCTGCAGAGGACCTCAGACCTCCTGAAGGAAGAAATGCTGCACCAAGCAATCCAAAAACAGCACATACACACTTGGCTGAATTGTGCATGCTATGGAGCTTTTGTTGGGTCTTCCAAGAATGATGCCATTTCATTTTGGTGCCCAGGTTTACATGTTTGCAATCTCAGTTGGAGGTTTTGCCCATTGAGTGCCCAACATTCAATGTATGTGTGAAACTAGGTGACTTCCGCTAACATGACTGTTTGCGGCACCCACCAAATCCTAAATGTAACACTCGCCACACCCTTGTTCTCAGATGCAAAAAGCCACATGTTTCCACTTGTTTCCACCATTCCGACCATTCCGCTCTTTTGAGTCAACCCCCACGGGTGAAACGGATCTCGTCCACGGCATGCCACGTTCACCCCAGCGGTCGTCTCAGAGGCCCCAGCCCTGGTGCGATGAAGGGAAAGTTCTCTCCGCCCGGCGGTCCGAGGGCATTCGCGAAGAGGGGCGGATCGGGGTGCGGCGGGCACACAAAGAGCGGGCTGCGGCTGAAGAGCCGGGCGAGGCAGGCTTGTTGGTGGTTAAACGGTAAGTACCATTAAGTACCGGGTTAGGTATCTATAGATTGGTGGGTCGGTCGGTAGATGTTGGCAAGTATAGTCTACTGAGACATACTGAGATCTAGAATTTGTTTGAACGTCCCATCTTCTCTTCACTGCAAAGAGATCTTCTCAGGAACTTGGTTAATCAAGATCTGCATCCGGTCCCATGAAGTCAAAGCAGATCTTTCTTCAGTGGGTGATCCGAAATGGACATACGTCTTCAGAAGGATCAATGAGGATCTCTGTCTCCACACATCGACGTGAGAAAAGAAACGAATTGTGGAGACCTCGGTCTCCACAAGTCGGCGTCATGCGAAAGTGCCAGTGCGTCACTGTGACGGACAGTACCATGCGACGGACCGTTGTGAAAGACGGAGTCTGATGGACGATTTTTCATGAGAGGCACCGAAATCGATGACGTGGCCGGTTCCTGAGGAAAGGCTGCGGCAAGGGAGGCATCATGCCTGGGAACATGATGCCTGGTATCAAGGCACGTGGGCACCTGGTGACATGGCAGATAGGAAGAGGATTTGGATTTGGAGCTGGACGCACATGAGGAGCAGAGAGAATTGTTGGGGCCAGAATGAGAGATAGGGATTCTTTCCGAGCGAATTCCAGGATGACAAGCAGGGTGCAGGGGTGCAGGCTTAGAAGAAACGCGTCATCCATCCAGTGATTTGCCTGCTTGGTCTCACTAGATGAGGAATCTCTCCACCAGCAAACCAAAGGGCTTAGATGACCCAGCGGATTGTTCTCCCCCTGACCGTGTTCGTCTGTGCTTTTGTCGACGCCGTGACCCGTGCTGCTTCGATTGAACCAAACGTCGGACAGGGCCTCATCAACCAACTCATGGAGTCCCAGGCAGAGCGAACTCAGAGACTCGGTGCGCTTCGCAAGATGTCCCATGAGACCAAAGCCTGTTTACATTTGTTTACATATTACATATTATATATACTGTATATAATATATATATATATTGTACGAGTACTGTATTAGTATATATATATACACCTACAAGCCTAACCAGATGAGACACCCACCTACCATGTCCGGATGGGCACTGATCACGATCACGATCCATCGTCCGACCTCCACCTTGGACCCCGCCA